CACCACTGTCCAAAAGGGAACGAGGCCCCGTAGGCGTTGGAGTCCACACACTGCTTCATGTTACTGCACCACATACACTCCGAGCTGCTGCTGGTGCACTCGGTGCACGTGGACCTCAGAGCGCACGGCGTACGACACTGTTTGGCACTGTGATTGGCTGCGGAAGGAGAGGTTTGAGGTCGGGGTCAGAACTGTGTGTTTGTTTATCTGGAACACTCTTGATATAAACTCTGAACTCTGCAGCAGGATTAAAGAACGTGACTCCACCTGGTCGTTCACAGAGGCTGCCGTTCACAGGGTTGATGCAGGACTGAGCCTTCAGCCCACTGGACGCTGCTTCAGCCAGGTAACCACAGAAGCCAGCATCGCTGGGTTCCCCAGGCAGCCACTGGAGCGTGGTGTTGGTGAATGGGGACATGTCCTCCCAGCACCAGTACGACACGTTTATCTTACGAAGACCAACCCAGGGAGTCACACTGGCCTTGTACTGGTAAAAAGGTAAAAGGAATTTACATATAGTGATTTTATTTCACCAATTTTATCGAGGTCAAACTAGAAACAAAGTGGAAACAGAGCGGAAAATAGACCTGAGGAAACAAAATAAAGTTGTGGCCTGGCTACACTAGTACTGTAAACCAGGACAGTCCAAGCTAAAGTTGGTGCTGACCTTTAGGGTACATTATTGCCACCTACTGGCTGGTCTGTGTGCATTAGTGTTACCAGTGACAAAGGTATAGGGACAGGTGGGATTAGAAGTGTTTTCTAAATTTGGATTTTGTTTGTAATCAAATAGTTGTCCTTAAGCTGTTGACATCCCAGCCCTGATTTAAAAACATTAGACCAGGCATGGGCAAACCTTTTGACCCGCGGGCCACAATTGTCCTAAAAATTGAACAGGGGGTCAGGATCAGACCGGGTGTTCGTGTGAACTAAGATAAATGACATGTAAAAGTCATCCATAAAGACTAAAATGCTTTTATCATTTTCTACGACATCTATCGGTGAAACGTGGGTACTGCAGAGGAGTATGATGAGAATCTAACAATAAATTATATAATTTGGAAACGTTTTGTGGGCCGGATTAAAAAGCTGAATGGGCCTCATCCGGCCCCCAGGCCTTAGTTTGCCCATGCCTGCATTAGACCAAAACATTTGGAGAATATTGCAGGACCAAAGAAACTTTGATTTGGGGTCTTCTGGTTTGGGGACATGTCTGTAAGAGACAAGGACAGAGACTGAAAACCAAAGACTTTCTGTCTCCTCCACAGAGGAATGACAGAAGAAAACCCTCCATCTCTGGAGGAGGCTGGAGGAATGTGGGGAGTTAAGAAGCACTCTCTCCACTGCTGAAGACTGATGTGATGTTTGTGTGAAAATCAATGAGCAGGACACATTTTAATAGCTCTCATTTTCAGGGTGCCGGTGAGAAACAACAAAGAGAGCAGGAATCTGTGGCAGAGATTCGTCTTCAGCGCTGACATCAATTTAACTGCTCTGACACACGGGCAGTAAAAAGTGTTTAAGTGGCGGCAACCTGAGAGACGGTTATCAGTCCAATCTCTAATCAATGTCCACACTGCTGCTGCTGATGCCATAAATGCTGCTGCTTGAAGTGCTGCTGCTTCTGCTGCTACATGAGCGGTAATGTAAACAAACAGAGCTCCGGATCCCAGCGCCTGCACTGAAAAGAGTGTCTATCTGAGGGTTTTCTGCATCTCTGGGATTGATTGATTATGTCTGTTAAAGGTTGGAGCAGCTAAACAACAGCCGCCATGTCAATACAAACATGAAGGATGATTTGTTCAACAGTGAACAGTCTCAGTCAGTGTAAAACAAGACTGATGGTTTATCTGCCGCGTTTTATAAAAGCTGCTGAGATGTAATGGTTTCCTGCTGTTGAAGACGTGGGCAGCTGATACTGTTCTGTGGATCTAAATCAATTCATCATTAATAACCACAGACTAAAGTTAGAAACAAAGCAGTGAGAGTCACCGGGTGGGGGAGTGGGAACACGCCCTAGACAATTCTACTATCCATCACAGGATCAGTTTAGAATTCCCAATTTGCATGTTTTTAGACTGTGGGATGAAGCTGGAATACCTGGAGAACACCTCCCACCATCATACACACATGCTGGGAGAACAGGGAACTACATGCAGAAAGACCAGCAGTTGGAGTTGGGGATCAACACAAAAAACCTTACTGCCACCTTGTGGCCATTGGCTCAGTTTGAGCTATTCACAGTTAATAATTTCATGTCTAGACTCTGTGCAGTATTATTTATGTATTTCTGTTTATGTTTGTCACTTCAATAGTGTTTATATTTGTATTTACCTTATAGTTTATAATTAGCACAATTTTGTTTTGCACCAGTTATATATTTATACATATATGTATATCCATACCTCAAATTAGTTACTCATAGCCTACAAGTTGTGTACTGTGTACTCAGATTTCGTTGTCAGTCTCACTGTTTTTTGTGTTTCTGTGCAATGACAAAGTCCTTAGAGCAAGACCTCTACCCCAGAGGTCATGACCTTTACTAAACACAGGTCAGTCTCATGTCAGACAACATACTCCTGGACTAGCTGCCAAGATAAAAAATAAATTGATAGAACTAAAATCAAGATCAAGATCAAACTCTGAGACGGAGCTTAGAGAATATCTGACCAAACCCACCACAGCTAACCCTGCTCACAATATCATTACAAGGGCAAAGTAACAGTTACACCTCCACTTTGGTCTTACCACCATGCTCATGATGTGCAGCTCCTTCAAGACAAAGTCCACCTTCTTCTGCGAGGTGAGCGAAGCCAGAACAGCGTTGTGACCCCTACAGGCCAGTTTGGCGTTGTCATACGAGTCCTTGGCAGTGATGAACTTCAGACAGGAGTTTCCCACCAGGTGCCAACTTTCACCACAGACGTTTTCTGGAACAGTGTGAGAGGGAACAGTTGTCCTTCATCATAATCTTAGAGCAGAGTTTCCTCCTGACTGAGGATGTAGGTGCATGTCCACACATATGTCGGTCTGGTGGAAGTGCCGTGGAATAAGGTTTGTGTTTGTGTTTCTCACCTGGCAGAGAAATACACTCCTGGTTGCGTGAATCCCACTGACAGTTCTGATCCACAGCACAGCTCTTACAGCTGGTTTTCTTGTTACACACATATGAAGGGTTGTCTCTAGGGCAAACCTCGCCTTCTGCTATCGCCCCCTGGGGGAAGGATGTGCAAATGAACAGCTGTGAGCCTATTCAAACAATGTGGAATTATTATAATGATTGTTTACTGAGACTGTTTCATTAATTATACAGTGTTTAAATAATGATCTGTGTGTGTCCATGTGTGTCTCTGTGTGTGCCAGTGCCTGTGTACAGTGTCTGACCTGGGCTGAGGTGCAGTTATCAGTGCCTGTGTCCACTGTCCGGTGTCTGACCTGGGCTGAGGTGCAGTTACTGCTGACAGAAGCACACTGAGCTGAACACCACTGACAGCCGTTGGTGTTGGAGGTGCAACTGTAACAGTCGTTGTACTGATCACAGCGTTCGCTGTCTGTATCTGTTGAGAGTACGACCAGAAGAAGAAGAAAAACAATACAGTCAAACGTTGATGTTCAAACACAGACATGTTCTCTTCAAAGTCTGATGGTGACACCATACACTCTCCACAGTTCATCAGTCTTTTAATCCAGATCCCTCGTCACTTCTTTAACTTTTCAGTTGTTGGTTTTTTTTCTGCTGTGTCAAACTGAGGTGATTTAACATCCAAAAAGAAACAACAGAGCTCAGACTCTCTCTGGTATTAAATGTGGTTTAAAGATATTCAGAGGAGCAGATTCCATCTGCCCGAGTCTGTGTTTGTTAGACGACAGCAGCAGAAAAAAAAAAAAGAGCCAACATTTGAAGAAAGTCATGATTTTCTGGTGACAAATGACAAAAGGCAAATAGAAGGACAATTCTCAGAGGCAGGTGGAACAAGACCTGAGTGATGTGTCCTTCAGAACCTCAGCCTCTCACTGTCACGCTCGCACACAGACACACGGTCACCACAGTGTCTGTCAGTGAGCTGCCGTCTCATCAGACCTCAGATCAGATGTAGAGAAACAAGAACCTGCGTGTGGACCTACATGATCTGGTGCTGCAGGACGCAGGGATCTGCTGCAGATCCAGTCCTGAGCTGCTTCCTTCCCAGGGCAGACAGACTCCCTGAGTACTGTTCCACACACACTGGATACCAGGCGCCGCCTGATTGCATGTGTGAAGAGTTTCGAAGGCTGCGCAGCTTGGGGAGGTGTAGATCAGGAGGTCACTGAGGAGGAGGCTGTTGAAGCCTCCAAACACATACATCATTCTGTGAAGCAGAAAAACTGTTGTCACCGTCACATATTGTCAACAACACAGTTTTTGTGATAATTCTCATGGTAATAATTATAGCTGACATTTTATATTTATAAAATATTTTGAGGCTCCACTTGTCGGGACAGATCGTTAAATATATTTTGGCTGAAGTGTTCTGCTGGTTTGGGCAGCATTAGTTGTTTTTTCAGCTATCTTTCATGTTTCTTTGTGTCAGCTTCTGACTAGCCTTTCAGAGGGAGAACATTATTTTGATGGAGAATACAATACAGTCACACAGTCATTTCTGTGGTTCTTTTTTCATATCTCAAACGGGAAGAAATCTGTCAGACAGCTATCAGTGAATAAAATACTCCTGTAATTTTCAGGCACTTCACTCCACTTAAACACAAGAGAAGAGAGAAAAGAAATAATACACCCCAACTTCAGTGATTTTAAGTTTTTTCTGTGAACTAGTGCTGAATACTTACCCGTCGTTAATAACAGCAGAGTGTCCAAATCTGTTGACGTCACTGAAGAGTTCAGGTCGAGGCAGAACCGTCCATTCATCACAGGCTGCAGTCAGAAGAAGACACGCAGAGGTAAGCTGCTGAGGCTGCTGCTCTAACACTTTAATCAAAAACACATTCATTCTTTAACTGTTACTAATGGTCAGTCAGACTCTAACAGCTCGTTTGCAGCTGCCAATCAAAAACACAGAAGTGAGGAACCAGGAGGGTCCACAAATCAGGGGGAGAATACAGCGAGGAGTGACTCCTTCTGACAGGTCAGAATTCAATATGTTTGATCTCACTATGAACCCAAGCAAAGAGCTCAGTGGTGGACACAAACTGCCTAAGGGTTTATTCTAAAATATATTATATATCCAATATATTTAAGATATAATATCTTTAAATATCAAAAGTGTGTCTAAACGTTGACCCTAGTCAAGCAATTGCATTTGGACGGCTGTAGTCCGGACTGAAGCTACAATTATTCTTAATGCATGTCATCAAAAAACACATCATTTATATTATAGACATTTGGTTTCCTTCTGGGAGAATTCTTAACATTTTTCACATATGTTTAGACATTTACTATAGTGTTTTGAAACTCTTTTTTTTTTCTTAAGCCATTGTTAGCATCAGTATTTTCTGTCAAGCCCTCCTCTCCTCTCCGTAGGTGAGGATGGAGGGATAGACCTCTTTGTCAATTTATATACATTAAAATGTAAAATAGACAGTTTTTGAACAAAGGTCTGTCTTTTATTCTCATCAGTCTGTCTCTGTCCATGGTTCTGAACATCTATGATGAATATTGATGAGCACCTCCCTTGGCTGTTTATTCATGTTTGTGAAGTTGGTGGAATGTGAAATGTAAATTACAGGTCCATTAAGCTGTGGTGTAACTCCTGAATGTAATCATTCATTAACTTATTAACTCTGCTCTGATCACACATTTATCCCTGGCTACAGCGGTGGCTTGTGTGTCAGACTGTCAACACAACAGTACGTGGAAACTGCAGACTAAAGAGTCTATGGAGAACAGGAGGACACTCAGCAGACTCCTGTGGACATGTGTGAGTCTCCCCTCTTCAACACACTACACAGATGCAGTGGAGCACAGACCTTGCTGCTGTACTGACTGGCGCTGATCATCTTTTCTAGATCATTTCTAGATCAACATCTTATCACTTCTAGAACAGTGTTTGACAAAACGGCTGCCTTGACTTACTGACTGATTGTTTTCTGTTTTTTCATCCTTTTTTTTTTACTCTCTTTACTGTTGTTTTGCCATTATCTTCCAAAATATTCTAGCAGGCGGCTGTGACATTAAATGTACCCTTTGAAAACAAAATCTGGTTTTCTTTCTACTACTATTTGGACAACAAACACACGACAAAAATCATCATTCTGATAGAGGCGGTCGTGTTTGGAGCGGTACATTAATAAGCAAACACTGCCCTCTGCTGTTACTCAGTGCCTACTGCAGCTCTAAAACACCAGAACGACCTTGAAATGTTCACGCTCTGATCCAGTTCTGCTCATTACAGTCGAGGTGATGGAGCTTTAGCGGGTCATCTCAAACATTATCACGGTAGTTTATCTTTTTCATCTCTAGATGTTTGATAAACTGACTGAAATTTTTGGCCGAGTCTAATTTTCAATGGGCAGCATATACTGTAGTTCTTCAGAGCACAATTTTATTCTCATTCTCAACTACTAATTATGAAACATTTCCCACAATCTCAGGTTCTCCGAGTGTGTGTCTGTATCACAGACCGTGTGTGTTTGTGTGTGTGTTACTGACCCAGACTGTATGTCACAGACCGTGTGTGTGTTACTGACCCAGACTGTATGCCAGGAAGTCAGAGGAGAAACACTTTGCTCCATGGCTCATGGACGTGTCATTGTGTGTGTTTCCTCCAAACACCAACATGGTTCCGCTGACAATCACTGCTGTGTGAAGGTAACGGAAAAACCCACTGTCCCTCAGAATGGTCCTGCAGAGAGAAGCAGAAATAAAGAACATTAAATGACTTTTAAAACCTATAGCCAAAGATCAGTGTTTTATCTACTAGGTTCAACTGCACTGTCAGAGAATGAGTCCTGGTATGAGTCCCTGTGTGTGTCTGTACATGTGTCACTTCACCAACTCACCACTTCTTCCTGTCCACATCCAGTTTGTACAGGTCTCCAGCCAGGCCGTATTTAGTGGCACTAAAGGCTTTGTATCCTCCGTGTGTGTATATGGATCTGGTACCAGGATCAAACACACTGCTGTGACCATAACCACCCTGGACCAGGGCACCGTCTGTAGGAACCATACTCCATGTGTTCAAAGCTGCACAGAAACACAGAGATCAGTGCCACTCAGGAAGAATAATCAAACACAGAACCAAACGGCCAAACCAATATTATTCAAACAAATAGTTTTTCTAGGTAGCTCAAAGGGAACTTTCGAGGGATTGATACAGTTTGTCTGTCTGTGTGTTTCTCTTTATTCATCCGTCCATCCAGCATGTAGCTTTAACCAGCCAATTCAGACTTATGATGATCCACCTGTCTTTTCAACATCTCTTCCAATTGTACAGCAGTTCATTCACTCCAAGTATCTTAAAACTAATAACTATTCTGTTTTTTTGTTTTTATCTGGTGTGACTGTGTGTGTGAGGTTGTTCTTACCCAGATTGTATTCGTGGACCTGGCTGATGTATCCGTACAGAGGACAGTGTCCAAACAGAACCAACATGACGGGACTCCCTCCCTCCTGGAGAGGAGGAATGATGTGAGCAGAGTGACCAACCACAGCATACTGTTCCTTAGACCTGGGGCTGAGGAGAACCCAAGTCTGGTTCTGGATGTAGAAAACCCAGAGTTGACTGGACACGTTCCCCGTGGAGTCGATTTTTCCTCCGTACATGTAGATCTTTCCCTGGAGAGAGGAGAGAGAAGTGAAACAGAGGAAAAGGAAAATAACTTGGGAGCTGATATTCAAATGACCAGGTTAAATGACTGACAGTGAAAACGTTGAAAATATATTTACTCATATAAACTGAAGATACTTTATATATACATTATATGTCGGGGTGCTTTGATTAAACCAATTTACCGAACAGTTTTAATTCACACAGTATTTGGTCACTACTACATCTATATTCTATGTCATTATATTTGTGCTTTAGTTATTTTCAGTTTAATTATTTTAAATTTTAATTCAACTATTCATTTTGGATTTTTGGAACTTTTAAATCATCACATGGAACTAAAGTTTTATCTCAGTGAAAATGTTACTTCAAAACACTAGAAATATTATGAAAGTTTATATAAATATTATGAAATAATACTATGAAATATTATGAAATACCCTTTTTTACTGTGTATTTGTTCCAAACTTCCTCAGCTAATCAAGAATACATGAAACAAGTCTTCGGCTGATTGACAGTTTAAAGACTTAAAGATGTGAATTTGTGGACTGGTCAGTCATCCAGGTCTTCTCATCAGAACATAGCTAACATAACATAACATAAAGGGCAATTGGACGGAGTAAGTTTTTTTTTTCTTCAGTTCAGTTCAGCTACTTTAGTTGGGTTTAGACAGAGTGAAGATACTGAACCCCAGTGCACGTGCACACACCTCCTGTCAGTACACATACCTCATGAAGAGCCAGTGAGTGTCCGTATCGTGGAGTAACAGCGTTGACAGAAGACTGAAGGTTCAACCACCTCCTGCTGCTCAGGTTAAACCTGCATGAAAGAAAACAGTCACAAGGTCAGAGACCAAACAGCTGATTTAAGGACATGCGATCCAATCAATCCAGTAGACAACCAGTCCAACTGTTTACATTATTTCTTGAAAAATGAAAATGTTTATTCATCCATTGTTTGCCACTATTGAGCATCTTTTTGGGCTGTAAAAAAAACCCAGATACTGGGGGAAAACTTTCAAACTCCACAGGGAAAGATCAACCGTAGACTGGACTTATGACCCAGTGACCTTCTGGATGTAGATAGTGATATTTACCACCGTATGACACGTTTACAGTACTAGATTTAGACTCATGGATAGGACTTTTAAACGTGTACTCAGCACCACCTACACACAGGAAAGAGGAAACGTTTCCTGACAAACAGTGAATAGCAAAAAAGAGCCAGGAGAATTTAAAGGACCAGTTCAGAGTCCATTTGTGAGCGTGCTGTGAAGATGTTTCAGGACAGTCTCTCATCTGAATATGTCAGAGAGATAAAAATAAATGGACTATAATAAAGTGGGTGGAACCCTCTGGAATCAGGACAGAAATTAATTAGACGCCGCGCTCTGACAGGAAACTGTTTAACCACAGAAAGATCTAAAGGCAGAGAGCAGAATCTGTCTGGGTGGAGCTCAGGCTCAAACCCCAGACCAGACTGTCATTTATGGGCTTTAATGACAGCCTTCAGTCAGGTCCAGACAGTTTCCTGTTTCTGCCTTCTATTGGCCCAAGAGAGTCAGGTGGTTCTTCCTTCTCCTGGCAATATTAAGACGCCGTGTTCTGTCAGTCAGACCCTCACAGAGAAGAGCACTTACGCTTTGACCATCTGATAGTCGGAGGTGTTGAAGACGTAGCCTCCCACCACCCACATGACTCCCTGATCCACCACGGCCTTGTGGGAGGCTCTGGCCAGTCCAGGCTCAGTGAACTCCTCCCTGCCCCAGAAGGAGGAGTTGGCAGGAGTTGGTACAGAACAGTCTGGACCTGGGGAGAAACCAAAACCGTACAATCACAACTCTGCAGTAGAATAAAAAAAGTGAGGAACCGATATTCTTCATCAAACCAGACGGCTCCTGCTCTGATACTGAACACAGAAATAAAATGCTGGCTGCAGAGGCCAAACGTGAAAATCAGTCGCAGCCTCAGAGGAGGAGGAGCAAAAAGAGGAGGACAACCGGCTCACCTTGCCACCCGGTCTTGCAGACGCAGGTCTTGTTTTGACAGTGACCTCGATCAGGAGAACCACATTGGGTCTGACAGTAGGGGGTGTCACAGGCTTCACCTTTCCAGGAGTCTTCACACTCACAGTAAACCTGACCTCCAGATGGCCCCACACGACACTCACCGCGGCCAGAGCAGTTGTTGGGACACATGTTCATCCTGGAAGGAAGGCAGGGGGAGAACAGAAAGAGTGAGACGGAACTGTTCCAGAACCAGTAGACCTGGGTGTTAGCCAAGAGGGTCATGGGAAAAATATAACATCTTCATTGGGCTGAGAGAAAGGCTAAGATGACAAATCGTTGAGGGTCAGCTCCAGGTTCATGGTACCACACAGTCTTCTGGACTACTGTTCTATCTGGTCAGAGCTCCTGAATGACGGAGATGTATAATGGTGAGTGGAGACCCACCTGTAGGAGATGTGGAAGCCCGTCAGGTTGTAGGCAGCATCACTGAAGAAATGCAGCAGTGCATAGCCGGACTGCGACACCACCTCTGGAACCGTTTCATTCCCATAACGCTCAGGAACAATGAGGCCACTGGGAGAGGAGAGGAACAGGAACCGGTCATGAATGTTTATCTGTAGAATGAGCTTCTGTTCTACTGGGGGTTCCCTTCACTGTAGTCTGACAGAGGTTTACTAAACCAGAGCATAGAGAAGGTCCTGTACCTGAAGGCAGCCAGCAGTGGAGCGTAGATGGAGTCTCCGTCGTAGACATAGAGATGATCCCAGCTGCACTCAGTGGCAAAGTGATTGAACCTCAACCTCAAAATGGTGTTGGGTCTGAAAGAGTTAAAATACACGTTTACCCTTTATTATGTTCGCTTCATAAACAAAACTGGACTATATGACCAAGTCAACATCAACTGGCTCACTACAGCCTGCCGAACAGTCCGATACGGCTGGTGACTGGATTTCAACAAACGTCTAATAATAATGTTATACCAGGAACACAGAGGTGGCCCTGCGACAAACATAGTTGGAGACCCCTGACATATGTTCTAACAGCTCGACCTTAAATCTTGGCAAACACTTTCTTCTTCAGAGTCTGAACAGCTGAGTGGAACTCTTCATCATCAAGTTCCATCTGTTGGATTACCTTCTAGTTGTTTTGGGTCTAACAGTTTGTTAGGGTTACACAGAGAACACAGCTGTTTTGGCTAATTTTGTAATACTTTAGATCATTTTTAGTTGACAATCATGAAATCTATTATTCTCAGGGTTGTTCATATGCTCTTAACACACAAATTGTACATACAACCCTTGGCTACCAGGGATGGAAAGGGAGGTGGGGGAAGTACTGACTTGAAACTGAGGTATCTCAAATAATCGGAGCATTTGGGCCACGGGCTAAGACTGCTGCAAGACTCCGATGAACGGAAACATGGAGAGTACTGTAAAGTACCACTTAAATGTAGTGCACACCAACGATGCAGGCAAATCACTTTAAATAGAACCTTTTAGAACCATGTCGTATTGCACTGTGGCTTACTGACTTTGCAATAAAGGTTTTACAATTTTAATAGTTTCCCAGAACTATATATTTTTTTAAATATCCAAAACATAGTTGTGTGTGACTCGACTCAACAGAAAAACCGAGATCCATTTGTGTGAGATGTGGTTATTTGAAAGACAGAGAAGCAGCTCTCTAGATGTTTTTACTTCTCAAACAGTGACTCCATCCTCTCTCCTCCTCCACTGCAGACTAACAGCAGCTTGGAGAACCTCTAATAAAGAAGCAGTGTTAGGCTGAGTGGTGAATCATTCATGTAAAATAAACAGTGAGCCTGGAGGAATGACAAGCATAAACATAGACACATGCACACACACACACACACACACACACAAAGGAGATCAGAGATGACCTCACATGTGACGTCACAGAGTTTGAGCTCGGGTCAGATCAGGACAAAAACACTGCAAAAACAATGCTGAGCCACTTCACTGCAGACAGGGATTAAAATGAGGATCTGGGTTTTCAGTGAGATTTCTAGATTCTAACAGATTTAGTCTGTGGAAGAGTTCTCTGATGAGGCTTATGACGTCAACAACACAGAGAGTCAACAGTCAGCCTCAGCTTCTGGAAACACATGACTTCCGGCCTTTGACCAGTAAAGAACTTACAGAAAAATAAAAACTAAAAAAGGCTGAGAGTCACAAAATATTGTCTCTTTTAGCCTGAGGTTTTTAATCATCATCCTTCTCCTCTTTCTCCTCCTCCTCCTCCTGCTTGGCTCAGCTGTGTTTTATTTGTTTAGCCCACTTCACATGAATTAACAGAGCTGTCTGAGTGACTGTGATCATGTCAATGTGTTTCAACAAAGTGTTTCCCAAAGACTGGCTCTAGATCCACAGAGGGGTCACAGGAGGGCTGTGTGTCAACAAAAACATCGTCAGTGGAAAAGTGAAATACTTAAAGATGAGGGAAAATGTCAATAGATAAAAGATCAAATCAGCCAAGGTGAATATTAATGGTTAGCTCAGATTTAGCTAAAGGTTAACCACCAAAACTTATGAAAAAAAAAACTCTAGGAATTATAATAATTACATTTTAAATTACAGGATTAAAAATGTGGAATGTGTCTGATTCTGCATCAGTCCTGCAGGGTTTCTGAACAAAATGGGGAGAACTGTGATTTTATTAGATGTTATTCTCTTGATTCTTCTTGAATCTAAACGTTTCCTTTAAGATTAAGATTCTGATCCGACCTGATCCAAGATCTGTTTTAATTTGGTTTGGTCTTGACTGGTCTGATGGAATCATAGATCTGATAAGAAGTTCTGGACTCCTGCTTTACTCACTGTCCCTCTATGAGCCACGTGCACTTGGTCTTGTATTTGTAGTTTCCTGGTCCATCAGTCAGAAAACCAGAAGGTCCAGTCAACCTGGAGACAGAAAGAGGAAGTCATACATGTAAATAATGTGGTTTTGAAGCACTTCTACATGAAACACATGCACATGTAACCTGGAACAGGATGACACTCAGACTGTTGTTTTTTCAAACCACTGTCGGTAACCTGGAACGGTCCGACACTGAGCTGGCTGTTCTATAGGGACACAGATGCTCATACACAACAACATTGTTGTCACACAGGAGGCAGCAGCAAGTAAACAGACAGGCACTCTCACACACACACACAGGGTTGAGAAATCAGCAGCAGAGGGTCACCAGTGATCTCTGTTTTTGTTTGTCTTCTCCTACTGTCCCATCAGGTCTGTGCTCCTGTTCATAACAGACCTGTGAGTCCAGCTGCAGAGAGGTGACTGGTTTACAACCCAGACTGCTGGACTCTGTCCCAGAACTGCATTTAAACTTCTTGTTGACTCTACAACTGCCTGAGTCCAGAGCCTGAGCTGCTCTGGCCACACACCACGCACAACAGCAGCACAACAGCAGCACAACACAAAAACAACAACCATTTAAATAAAATGAATCCTGCAGCCATGTTGCTGAAGTCCCTGAAACCTTTAACTTTTTCCCTGTCATTTTTATCTTTGACTTTATTCATTTAGTTCATTTTTTGTACCACTTTTTGTTAATTTCTCCTTTCCCCAATCTATCTGACTTGTTCTTACTCCTTGATGGCCAAGGTAAACTGGTGATGGAGGTGGTGTACAGCTCCAGTGATCAATGGCAGCTCTTCACTCTAACCTGCAGGTTAGCCAATTATACAAAAAAAATGAATGCAAGTCAGCCATAAAAAGTGGTTCATTCCACAACAGCACCCGTGCGTCAATCCACTCGTATCTCGATTGCATTTTCCCCAATAAACAATAACTAAAAACTATCATAACTTCGGTGGCCAAAAACTCTGTGCATCCCTAGTAAAAATGTCCCCAAAGTCCTGTCTTTCATTGTGCTCCACTGACCCAAGAATGTTTGGATGAGATGAAATACAAGAGCAGAGGTGAAACCACAAATTTTAGACCATGATCAGGACTAACTGATAAACCAGAGTCTTTGTCTGCTGTGTTGGACCAGTCACAGTCAGTTCAGACCATAAATGCTTCAAGATCCAGAATCACAGTCAGATTCACAGCACCAGGCAATAAAACCTGTTTTCATCATTGTGAAGTTTCAGTCATAAAAACCACTTTATCTGGACCTGAGCAACAATCATTAAGGCAATCGAAACACCTGTACATTCATAAACCTGCATGTCTGCACTGGTATGGTCTGGTCTACAGTCTGGAAGCACAGTGAACACAGGTACAACATCAGTACAGACCCCCAGCTACAACATAGAACATCAGTGCTGTGGCTACAGCCCACAGAGACCAGAGTTCCTCATTCACACGTACACAACGCAGGATATAACTGATGTAAATCTTCACACAAATGTCATCAGACCAGAGTTTTTCTGTCAGCAGACCTGACAGGACAGAAACAGGATTAGTTGTCTCAGTGCTTTTATTGGTCCTACTCAGAGGCCACAGGTCACAGAGGACGAGTTTAATAAAAAAAGAGTTTAATATTTAATTTGATCTGAACACTGAACTAGACTTGGGTGACTTTAAATCAAAATACGCCTTGTGTGGTCCACAAACACCTTATTTAAAAGCTGGCTTATAAAAGATATAAAGAAATCACTAGAATTGTTTCAAAAGAAGCAAATGTAACACTATTTTTATTGTGGAAAGAAGCTAAGGGTTAGATTAAAATAGCTTAAAAAATACTAAATTCTTTCTTTTTTTTATTGTTGTAGAAATGATGCTGAATGTGAGTTTCATTAGAAGCCTGATATTGTGCCCTGGTATAAACAAACAGACAACACACACAAATAAATAACATGTGTAAGGTTTGTTCCTGCCAACGTGTTCCTGTCCTGACAGAGAGGACAGTTGGTGAAGGAACATTTCCAGGAAATGGAGCCAGGAACACCAGAGAAGAAGAAAAGTGTGATGTGACCGACACAAGTGTAAACAAGAGACGAAACACTGACAACAGACAGCACAACAGAGAACACAACGCCTGTGTTTAAAGACATAAATGTGTTTGTGGCTATGTCCGACCATCCCGTTCAACAGATGGTTATTTTATTTGAAATGAAGTTTTTTCGTCTGGTCTGTGTCTTTGTCTCCTGACACTGTCCTTCATAAAACAGAGACAGACATGTCAACTCTTTGTGAATAACTGTCAGGCACTCAGTCCCTGCTTCAGCACCTAGTGGAACATTAACATGAACCTGCAGAAAGAGAGACAAAAACCTTCACAACCAGAACCACACACTGCACATACTGTACTGTACAGCCTCACCACCGCACAACCTGAAACACTGAACCTATCACAATGTACAACTTCCATACTGTACAATAGGGTTGTCACAAGAACCAATACATCAGTACAAAGTACCAACTCACAAAACATACATCAAAGCCTGTTTTTTTTTCTGGTTCCATCAGTACCAAATATTCACATTTCCCCTCCATTAGCTGTGTTGTTTCCTGGTGGAACTGATGGGGGCAGCATTCCCGTATGAGCACTGAGCAGTCGGTGCCGCCACCAAGGATGAACAACTGTGGTCTTTAAGAAATTCTAATTAGATTCCATGCAAACATATATTGAAACACAGCGATCTTAAATAATTGACAGTTTGAAACAGCTTTTAATAAAGTAATGAATTTTAAAGTTTTGTTTTTTTTTATCTTTATCACAGTCTAAAATTAGTGTAGAGAATCGTGGAAATTCGTATCGGTATCCACTACTGAAATTCTGGTATCGTGACAACCCTACTGTATAACCTCCAACACTAAACCCTACACATTAGACAACCTCAAATCCCAGACATCAGAGACTGGTCTAAAACATCAGTGCATCTCTCCCTTCCTCCTCCTCCTCCTCCTCCTCACTGTTGTCTTGGCTCTGATGGACCATCAGATCTCCATCAGAACTGACACTCTTACTGGTGTTCCATTTTCCCAGCTACAGCTTGGTTCTGTGAGGCAGCATTGTTTTTATGCTAAATAGAGTCAGACCAGGGACTGGTCTACCGACACCATGGGGTTGTTTCACATTTTCAACAAAAAACACGCTCTAACAGATTTGAATGCTTCACCTAGTGCACACGCACAAAAGAATGGACACCAAGATATGCCTTTTCCGGCCCATAAATTCACTATACCCCTGCTGAATAACTTTTATTCATTTTATCTTTTAAAACAGCAAAGGTCGTATATATAAACTTCTGAGATGCAGTTCACATATAACAGTGTGTGTTAATTATTATTGGTATAATGATGTGTTATTATTAATCCAATAGGTAGAATTCCCTCATCAGAAAAGTATACGGCGTATTACACAACAGGTATATCAATCCCATAGGTAGAATTCACAGACCAAAGTCTATTGAGAAAATCAGTGGTTTAATCAAACAGCAGCAACGGATCCACTGTTGCCTCCTGTGGCCAGTTAGTGTTACTATGGTATGTCTGAACAAATAATTTCCAACACTGAAATTTGTAACTTTGACTGACAACTGTCTCTGGGAGCTAACTTTGATTTGATTGTCCATGAGGTTTGGTGGGACACCACCAAGGATCTTCTCACAGTGAGATTGTCTGGTGAAGAACTCTGTCTAATGTTTGACTAATCGACCTGATGTTTGCCACTTGATAAAGCAATGAAGTTGGTTAAATATCAACTCCAGTCTCTAAATTACATTTCAAATCAAGCCCTGCTAAGGTATTTGCCGGTGTTGATTTGAAATGTAATTTAGAGACTGGAGTTGATATTTAACCAACTTCATTGCTTTATCAAGTGGCTGACAAACATCAGGTCCATAGTCAAACATTAGACAGTGGTGCAGACAGCTGACACTACATAACAACAACAACATCATCAGTGAGGGTTTTCTATCCACAGCAGACACTCTCCTGGTTTTTAACCACAGCTGTTTCCTGTAAAGAGGACACTCTTACACACACACACACACACACTACTGCTGCAGCTGAAGAACAGCTCAGCAGAACACTGGCCTCCATCTCACCTGCTCACATACAGTGCCCTCAGCACAGATGAAGCCACTGTTCTTCACCACTGACATTGATACTGCTGCAACAGCATCCACTGAGGTGCAGCAGCATCAAGCTTGTAACAATATGCAACCACCAAATTAATGGAAAACAAATAGAGGACACACACTCTGGAATCAGTCACTCTTTCACTCTCTCACTCGCTCTCTCTCTCTCTCTCTCTCTCTCTCATACACACACACACTCACATACACAAAAAGAGAGACAGACAAACAGACAGACATACAGACAGAGTGTGTGTCTGAGCTTTGTTCATGGTACGCTTTTCCCCGGTACCTGAATCGTCCTCCGCAGTGCTGGCACTGGTCCCCGACCCAGCCAGGGAAGCAGACGCAAGTCCCGGTGGCAGCGTTGCACCGTCCGTTCACACACACTTTGTCGCAGTCTTTAGCGTCGGTGGCAGCGGGTAGCGCGGACAGGAGGCCGGTGACAGAGAGCAGAAGAGCGGCGCCGAGCATCAGCAGGCTCCGGGAGCAGGAGCAGGCCTGCCGCGGAGCCCTGCACATTCTCTCACAGAAGATGGCTGCTTTCAGTCGGGGCTGACGCTCCGCCGCTGCGGCTGCTGCTGCGGGACAGAACCAGGGGCTGAAGCCGGTCTGGGGTTCACCTCAGCGGCGTGGGAGATACGGTTTTTAAGGGTCTAGTGTTGAGTTTGTCCATGCAGCCCCGAGCTCTCAGGTCGGCGAGTTTCCATCTTTGCTCCGTGTCTGTTCCTCTAGGACCGCAACAAGCCGCATATTGACACCAGGAAGTGACGACAGAAACCGGAAATGCGCAACTCGAAGAAGCCAGCGCGCCAAGAATTAAACCTAAATATTAAAAAAAATAAAACATCCTAACACATGAGCTAATCATTCGTAAATAATACCTTACTTTTGAAAAACAATTTAAAACAAAAATGATCGTTTAACTATTTAAATGTCGATTTAATTGCTTATAAGAAATAAATGAAATAAAACTAAGAATTCAATAATTTTACAGTTTTAGCTTAGGATGAGCAGATTGTTTTCCATAGGACACCATTTAAAAACAGTTCCACAAAAAGATTTTTAAATTCACCATCTAATCCTAATCCAACGGATTAATTAATAAATCAAAAACCTAATCCAGGACACAGGTAAAAGTGTCTAACACAGACTCCACACCAACTGTACAAAGGGTAAAGTAGAGTTTATTAAATTTAGACTTGTAAGAAGTCATTAGGATCCAACACGCTTCATGATAGGAGGCGCATTCATTATAATAACAATCATAATAACACCAACCCAAGAAGGATTGATCGCTGCATCCAGACATAAATAAAGCAAACTGACATATTTACAATTCTTCCTGGATCGAGGACAGACTTTGTGCATCAGATAACCTGACCACATGTTCAGACCAGAGACTCTGACAAGTGACCACAACCAAACACACATACAGTAGCTCCACAGGTGGAGGAAATAACTGCTGTTAAATTTCAGTTTCTAATATCGGCAACATTTTCTCAGTTTTCAGTTTCATTCATTTCTGATCCTACTTAAAGGAAATAAAGACTAAAGCAGGACACATGAGAGGACACAGTGCAGGATTGACAGCAGATTGTCCAGTAGGAGCAGAACACATGTATCTAGGGTTTTAAAGAACGTAGAGACTGATGAGTACAGTAGACAATGGTTGAGTGTCTTGCTCAGGTGTACATTAGCATGCAGTAGGAATCCAACACACAACCCCCCACGGGCAGTGCGAAATAATCACAGTCAAAACTCTTCCATTTAAATATTTTAAGGCTTTAAACCAAAGGGTTTTAACAGTAAACATTTCTTATCTAAACCTTGTGTTTGTGAGTGACAAAGAGAAGCTGTCGTTTTTACTTTGCAGGTTCTCCACCCTCATTGAGGATCTCACTAGACTAGATGATGTGTCTTCACCAAGGTTTCAACTTTGTGGTCCTACCTCAAACTGAGTCACAGTATGTATCGTAACTGACTTCTGTAGGTAAACAAAGACAAAACTATCTGAAAACTACATGATTGGATGCAAGTGACAGCATCAAAGTACTGTCCTTCACAAAATAACGTCAGGTCAAAGCCCATTTACAGTGATGGATGACACTCTGACTGTACAAGACACTGTCACAGTAAACAGAAAACAACAGAAACCAACTGTAGAATAAAAAAAACACATTATTACTACTATTATTATCTTATAAAAGTGAGAAGATTCTTAGAAAAATTACAATCATTTTTTAAATGTTATTAGTTCATTTCTATCAGGTCATGTTTTTCGCCCTCTCAGCTGAAGACAAGGCTGGAGTCAGGGTCACATGACCTACATCAGGTCCAGCTCCCCACTAGGGGTCGTAAAACAGTTGTGTTAGAGGAACTCATTTGTATTATCTCTAATGAAATTTCTCTACACTGTAAGAAAGAACTATTCATTTCCTGAAAATGATTTGTGGTACTTGTTTTTCAAACAATTATTTTGTCCTATCGTCCTACAGTCGTTTCATGAAAAGGCCATTTACAAGCACCAGCTCCCTCGTTACCTAATGTACATGATTGATCATCATTATTTCCCTCTTTATGGTTAAAGATATTAACATTATTTGTTCTTTCATTTATGTACAAAAAATAACAGGCGTTTCAGAAAGAACTGCTCTTGTCAAAAGTCCTGGACAAACCAGCTGCAAGAACATCTCACACTTTACACCTGGACCAGAACCATCTGATACAGACAAAAAAAAAAACAAAAAAAAAATAACAACTTTCACCCAGAAGTTGCTGTGGACTAGGGTCAATTCAAATTAAATCCACATTTTTAGTTTCTTTAAGGAAAAAAACAGTAAGAAAAAAAAAAACCCAACAGATAATATTTTTGGTTTTCACATCAGGCATCTCCGGTGTCAGGAACACCAGTCGGTGCTTGTAGCTGTCATCAGCTCCTCTTACTGGTGGAGAAAATGATCAAGGATCAAAGGCCTCTTCTTGCAGTCTCCTCAGATATTGTTTGGTGCCCGAGGTTCAGCACAAGTCAAAGAATCACTGACAAACTAAGAACAGGTCTCAGCAGTGTCTGTCACTTTATCAATGAGAACAAAATAATCACTTTTGATGATCCATCTGCTGCTCAGATTCTGGTTCTAAAGGCAACGCAACATCTGCCAATTCCGTCATTTTTCTTCCACCTGTGATTAAACTTGCTGAGGATGATGTGGATGAGTCAGTACCAGTAGGATCAGGGTTTACACTTGCTGAGTTCTTCAATATGTTTGTTGGTTCTGGTGTGGTAACAGAAAAAAAGTTCTCATCATCTTCAGTTGTTTGATGTTTGTCGTGTCGGTCGACCCATGGAAGAGGAGCTGTAGGTTCTAGATCGCTGCCTCACAGCCAGTTGACAAGGCAGCTCCAGGTCCTGGAAGATTGGAGTTCCGGTGATTTCTACTGCTTCAGGACGCTCACTGGGACTGAGTGACAACATGCTGCGGACCATGGTCAGCTGTGGACAGAGAAGGGACAGGACAGAGATGTTCCACATGAGTCACTTTCATCTAGTAGTTTAAATTCCACTCATTCACCTGTTGTTGACAGGCTTCATTTAAATACATTAAATGTATTTTGCCTTGCATTGCAAGGTCTGGAATTACTGGAGTTATATTTATTTATCTTTTTTAGCTTTAATTTTACTTTAATTTTAATTTTTAGTCTCATTGAGATTAAAATATCTTTTAGGTTTTTTAGGTCACACAAAATTTTAACTAAAAAAATGTAATACAAAATAAAAATAATAAAAACTTAAGTACAAACCTTCAATAAACAAATAGATATAATACAGACAAATATATATGAATATATATAAATATATAGGTCTAGTCTTGATCGAATGTTCCACTTGTCTACTTCAGAGACTAAAACTAGTGATGGAAGCCAGTGCCAGAAAATGGTTGTCTCATGGCCAGGAGAAGAACCATGTGTTTGACGTCACCTAAAATAGAAAAATTTGACTGGTTGTGGGGTCAGGGTGGGATTACTTTGTGAGGTTATTTTTGGTGTTGGAGAACAACAGATTATGGTGTGGGATTATGTTAATCTCATTAGGCCAGGTAAACAAGGCAACAGAACCAGAGCAGATGCTGGGTTAATTTTAGTAGAACACATGTTCTATACTGCTGGGCCAGATGGACTCAATACTCTGATCTGAGGTCAGAGTTCAATGTTAGATTAAGACACATGACAGAACACGAGCTCATCTGTGCTGCAGTTAGTAAAGGAAGCCAGTAGGTGGCAGCAGTGTATCAATACTGACCTCCTGCTGGTTGTTTTTGGAGAATAGCTCAGGGAAGCGGAGCAGCCTCACCTCCATCAGTGTCTGAAAAACAGGGACAGAACAGAACAAAACACACCTGTGAGTGGAGCCCAGATGGTGATCTGCAAAAAAGAGTGTGTGCCCATGTGTGTTTGTGTGGTGCTGACTCACTCTGACTCTCTCCATCTGTGTCCTGAAAGGATGGAGCAGCTCAAACAAGATCAGACCCAGAGAGTAAATATCCACTTTGTGGGAGTACGATTTCCCAGAGAGCTGCAGAAAAGAAGAAGACAAAAGAGTGAGTCAGTCAATAACTGAGTCAGTGAGTCAGTCAAAGAGTGAATTAGTCAGTTCTATAGTGTAGTGTGTATAGTGTCCCAGAGGAACCACATGCTTGGCTCTTGCTAGGGTTAGCCTGTTAACAGCATATGTGCTGCTAACACAACAATTTCCCAAATATGGGATCAATATAGTACAAATGTATTTACTTATTTTTATTTTTTGAGTGAGACAGTCAGTATGTCTATAATGTGAGTCATTGAGTTAATCAGTGAGCCGGTCATTCAGAGAGATAGTCAGTTGGTCTGTTAGTCAGTGAATGAGTTAATTACTTATTGAGGTAGTTAGCGGAGGTCTTCTGTTCTCACCTGCTCTGGACTCATGTACAGCTTGGTTCCCACCTGACCCGTGTGTCTGGTCAGCAATGGTGCCGGTGTCAGGACGCTGGGATCATCTTCATCGTCCTCCTGGTCCATGGCTGTGACCAGACCAAGGTCTCCAACCTTCACCACGTCATCCATGGTAAAGAAGATGTTGGAGGGCTGCAGAGGGTGAGAAGAAGTCAGATTATCATCTCATTTATTGTTACTCTGTCCTTCTTTTAAGCCATAGACATGGTCAGCTAATCACACTGTGTACAAATATTTCACTGTCAGTAAACTGACAAATATGTCACAGAATTGAAGAAATATAGTATACAAGGTCCTGCTAAAGGTTAGACCACATGTGTAATGAGTGAGTGAGTGGATGAGTCTGTCTGTGTTACCTTCAGGTCTCTGTGCATCAGTCCTTTACTGTGCAGGAAGTCCACAGCTTCAGCAATCTGCAGGAAAATATCCAGGCACTGGTTGTGTTCTCTCTGCTCTGGAAAGCAACGCTGAGACATCCAGTCCTTCAAGTTTTCCTTCCTGCACAATTGCATCTGAATGTACAAGTAAACCTGCAGACAGATACCTACATGTTATCAACATCTCTGATTCAGGGACATTTCAGATCAATGAAAATGTTTGTCAGCTGTAGTCTAACTTCTTATTTCCAAGGTAATTAATTACGCTATTTAACTTCTTTATTTTCTAAGTTATAGATAAGCTGTAATGTTTCTTAGCTTTATTTATAATTTTTTTCTGTATTACTGGCAAATTCTAAATTCTCAGTGTTACGTCTGTTGTGTTGAGAATCTGACCTTTGGAGACGGCTGAACTCGCTGTGTTGGGGGGTTTGTGGGCAGACCCAGTGCCAATGATGTGGGTCTGTTTAGTGTTGAAGATGAGGGTGGAGCAGATTCTTGTTTCCTGGTGTGTGATGAAGATAAGGTGTTCTTCTCTGTCACTGCTCCAGGACTCACTCCTCCTCCTCGTGATGTGACAGAATCAGTGTCCGCCTCAGCATCGCGGTCGCAGCCCGAGTCCTCAAAAACAATGTCAAAGGAGGAGGAGGTGCAGTCGCTGGGGCCTCTGGGAGAACAAAGCTCAAAGGAGTGTGGAGTGTCTGAGGCCTCTGCGTCAGGGTCGGCCTGACTGTCCCGCTCTGACATGAGACTGTCCTGACCCAGGAGAGGGTGGAAAGACATGTCACTGTCATCCACACCAAAACTTGCTGCCGCCACTGCTCCACCTGTGCTGCTGGACAACAACCCACGTGGATCAGTGCAGGAGTCCAGGACGTCTCCTGCATGTCCACACGCAGGGGACACAGAGCTGGACACAGGTACTTTGACTGAAAGTGCGTCCATGTGGTCACGGCAGCTCATTGGCCAGTCAGTAGTACTGAAAAAAGTAATATTGGTTAGTAGAATACACAGAGATTTAAAAATATATACCATGAACATCATTTATCTGTGATTATTCATGTTTCACTATAAGTGTATGGTGGTTTGTTTATCCAATGTAATAGGACATTTGGAGTATTGCTCTAGTAGGGGACAGTATCGATTCTCTATGGTTGCTATGTTCCATTGTCTCAAAACTTTTGGACATAATCCTATAACAGCTCAGTCACCTGCTGTCCTTCATGGACCTCTTGTCCATCTCCTCCTGCCAGTCCTCAGGTGGACTCTCCTGCCAGGCATTGAAGTAGCGAATAATCCCCGGATGCTCTAGTTTGGCCAGAGCCTTCACCTCTCGCATCACCTTCTCACGAGCAAGTTCTCTGAGAAAATTGAAAAAGTCAATGAATCACTAAACCAATCAATCAGTCACTCAATCAATCAATCAACCAACCATACATTCCTTTACCACGACCGACGGATGACTAGAGGTTATTACATTTAAACAATATAATCAATTAAAAAAAAACATAAAACAGGAGCAAAGTTGAAACAAAAAAACAAAAGGCTGTGAAGGCTAGTGTGAGGCGCCACCTGTTGGGAAGACGGATCCTTTTAATAGCGTAGTGACAATCGTCTACTTTGTTCCTAGCTTCAAACACCACACCAAAGCCACCACGCCCCAGACACTGCACTGGCTCAAAGTCAGTTAGATACCTGAGGAGAAAAGGACAGTTAGACTGAGTTTTCAGTTCTATAATTCCTGGTCTGTAACGCTGGTGTACACTCCAGCCTGAAGGTGGCAGCAATGTACCTAAAGTCTATATGCCAGCCAGAAACCAATGAACAGGATGAGTGACAAGTCAGTGCACAAGAAAGTTAATAAGTATTATATAAGTATTGCTAATAATCAAGCTGACACTTATGTACAATGACACTAAGACCTTGAGCCAGACGCAGCCTGAGGAGGCCAAGGTCACTGTCATTGTAGAGAAATCAGCTTCCATTCACATATTTGTGACTCACACTCATCACTGTCCAGAGTGAACTAAAGGACTAGTCCTCACTATGGTAACAGGGCTGAGACTTTAGACTGTCATTAGCAGCAGCACAGATTCTCATAAAATCAAGATGAAAAGTAGAGTGTGTCCTAGTTGACATACCTGGATACATACTCCGCTGATCGGTTCTCAGTACAGACCGGTTCTTTGTTCTCCACCACTTGGAGCTCAAACTTATTATCTGTCTGGCACTGAGTCTCAGACTCCTTACGTTGCTTTAAAAAAAAGGAGGAGGAAATCACTAATCAGCATAACAACTATAACTGATGTCATTCTGAAAACACTAAAACATGTGTTGTGGACAAAAGAGTAGTCCTGACAATAAAGCTGCTGCTCTTACCCTGACATAGGGGGCAGGAACAGAGGGGTGGAAGAACTTCCTGACGATGCAGGTGGTGGCCACGATACAGAAAACAATGGTGCAGATGATCTCCTTCAACCAGGGCAGCAGCAGAAACAGGTCTTTTCTGAGACTGTCAGGTCCGGCTACGTTCCCTTTGATCAGACTCACAGAGTCGTCCCGTTTCCCTCGGTACCGTTTGTTGTAGTGTAGGTAGTAGCCATTGTCTAGGAGGAAATGGAGCAGTCAGTGGGGTTTGGGTTTGATTCAATATGTTTTTCTAGCTCATGTTCTGGAGCAGGTTCTTACCGTATGGATACTGAAGGATTGACAGAGCTCCATTACTGTACTCCTGGTGAGAAAACTTGTCGTTGTTCAGACACTTGTCTAATTCATCAGAGCCAACCAGAGCTGGGGTACGGGAGGGAGAATCTGTGTCAAAGACAGGATTGATGACTTCTTCAGGGTCAGAAAGTCAGAAACAAAAACAGGATTGATGACTTCTTCAGGGTCAGTGGATTAAATATAGTATGTATAGTATGGCTTTGTCTGTTAAATAGTTGAATAATTGTATTAAGAATACATGAAATTATATGAGCTGTTACATGTATACAGGGATCTTTGTTCATTATCTTTTTAACCCTAGCAGAACTTACGGACGAGTGGTTTCCATTTAACCCTGGGAACTGGGATGACACTCTTCTCTGATGTGATAGCTTTGGATGGAAACTTGTCAGTGATCTGGACTGAGGACTGCAGGTATAGCTGCCCGTTAAACATCCCTGTTGGTATCAGGACACAGGAAGTCAAACATATTTGTTGGTTAAAGGTTGGTATGAAAAACCCAAGTCACAAGAGATAAAATGTGCACATGGTAGAGCTGTCAGTGACCTTAAAAATTACTACAGTGGTAATAGCAACCAGAGAAGGTTAGACGTTCTAACAACCACATGTGTACAACTTGGACAGAAATAACTGAACCTGCAGCTGTGGCCAAACTGAGTTTAGAAACTAAAGCGTCATTCAGCCAAATATAGAAGAGGAGCCATGGCATTTAGACGAAAAAATGTGTTTAAAAAAAAACAAAAACTGATACGTGTGGTGTATGTATGTGAAGTCTCAGCTAACAAGCTGTCACCCAGCTGTAGACAGAAGACTGAGTCTGGAGAGAGTTCATGCTGCTGCAATATGTCAGTGATGATTCTGTATTGGGCTGCTAATACAAATGAGAAAGTCGATCAGCTACTGTTCATAAAGGAGAAAGCATATGGACGAAGCATTTGAACGGACTCATCTAATTGGATGACAATATGAACCAGAGAACCAGTCATTTTGTTTAAATAGGTGGATGTACAATGTCAAGAGTAAAAGAACAATAACACAGTGCACTACCCAGGTACACCAGGGTCAGAAATTAGCACGTAGTCAAGGATTATAGTCTCTGAATTTGATCTTAAAATTCCTTTGATTGCATCTTATTTCTCCCCTTTAGTCCTTTCTGCACCTTAAGGGTGAAGAACGTTCTTAAATTACAACGTCTCACAAAGTTATACACTGCCTTTTGTGAACTGTAAAGATTCTACTATTGAACAGACCTAAGTAGACGCTGGACTCCGCTGCTTCACTGCTCTTCTCCACATCACCATCTTCATCCTCCTCATCCATCTCTGACTGATTGCTATAGCCTGTGTCGTCAAACAGACTGATGGGTGTGACTTTGCCTCCACCCACCAACCAGGCTGAAGCGATGGGTGTGCAAAACTGCAAATGAGGAGATCCAGAATCAGCTGATACTGATCACACCAGAGTTATAGAGGTTCAAATCAAGTCCCTCAGAGTCTAACCTGCTGCTCCCAGATCAGCTGACCATCAGGCTCAGGGCTAAACGCCATCACTTTCCAGTCAGGAACTGACACCTTGATGACAAGGTCTAGATTATGGTTCTGCTGGTGCTTCTGGTTTTCCATCTGCTCTCGTTCTTTGGGTTCATCTGTGATTATCCGCAGACTCTCCTTCCAGCCATCACCGTTTGCTACTTCTCCTTCCAGGAAGTTCATCCCAGTCTGAGCCTCGGGAACCATCTTCAGCTGGAAGTTTCCAACACTGAAGTTCCACCTTTTAACAACAGAAGATAAAAATATTACAACAGAGTCCATTCAAAAATAGTTACATCAAGGGCAACTGGACGAAATAGGCTTTTTTGTCAAGTTGCCCTCGATGTAACTATTTTTGGATTAAATGACCTGGATGACTGAAAACCTACACAGACAACAGAGTCCATTCTCTACAACAGCAGGGTTAAAAGGAGCTGGCTCCATGTTTGGCATCAGTGTGTCTTTGGTTTCAGATTAATTTAAATTCAGATCCCCGTGTTATTTTTTTACTGCAATAAATAAAGTCATGAGTCTGCTCTGCTGTGTTGGATGGAACAGAGAGCAGAGGCTCATCAGACTGACTGATGAAGAGAAGGACTGATGATGGAATGAAGTCATGAGCACTGGCAGGCTGACTGGATCAAACTCACTTTTCTGTCCCTGATCTGGGTCTGATGGCTCTGACAGTCTTCTGTGTCCTCTGCAGCAGGAGAACATCCTCTGACTCTGACTCCTGGCTCCCCCACTGACTGCAGCCTACGGTGGAGCAGATGTACCGCAGCTAAGGAGGACACACACACACAAACACACACAAACAGATCATTAGGTTATTATTTAATTTAAGTAAGAGGTCAGACAACCTTTTTAATCATCATTACAGCAGTTTCTTGGGCACATTTTGCTGACCTTTAATACTCACCAGCTAACTGTTTATTGTTATTAACTTAGAACATTTGTCTAAGTCCATCCAAGCTAACTTTTCCACAACTTTTTGCAGTTTTGCTAGCATGATGTAATTTGCGTGTTAATTATTTGCTTACATAAGAAAACACAAAGCCTTATTTTTGGAGATTTTGTTAAACATGTGGTGTTTTTTAATGTTAGGATCTAATTATCTTTAGCCTAATTCAGTAGCTAATTTGGCTTACTTTTGAAGAAATTTGTAAAACATGTGTGTGAACCTAAACCTATCTTATCTAATCCCATGCTAATTTGTAGCTAGTCATGGCAAGATTGTTACAATTTCTCAGCCAGCTATGGTGAGTCCACTGGAAGGTACCAACCGCCCTAACAGGGACTGGATCTTTCCCAGGAGGTGAACCCTGGGGTTCTAAACCAATGACAGAGACATTGCCTCTGGGCCAAAGCGCCACTGATTTGATTTAAATATATTAATATTTTTTGGGTAATGTTTGACTCACTTTGCCTGTGTACGCTCCTAGGCCGTAGGTAGTGAGTGATTTTCCTCCCACCAGGACTGTGTCCTCTCCGATTCTGTAGGACGAGTCCAGCAGTGATTCCACACTGAAAGGCACCGCCTCCATACTCTCTCTGTCCCGGTTCCACTGGAACAAGGCACCGTCCAGTGATGGAATCACCACTTTATTACCAAACACCTGCAAAACAGAATGTTTTGAATGTATGACTGTTTGTGGAAAAAGTACAAGCAGGGCAGCACAGGAACATTTTTATCTGATATATGTGTGTGTGTGTGTGTAGGCTAATTCTGGAATAACCTAATTAACCTTTAGCCATGTCTTATTTAGGTTTTTCCTGCAGGTTAGCTTTCATTCTACACTATCAGCTGTATTGTGGTTATAGCATGTGCTCATGTTTAAGGACATCACTGATCTATGAAACGGCTCAATGACATCGAAGCAGGTTGTAGAGAATCCTGATCCTGTGCATTGACACTTTTGCTTGAATGACATGCCGCCTGACACAGGTTGATTACAGTGTTAAAGAAAATCCAATCAGACTCTATTAAGGTCAGCGTAGTGGCTTTGTGATGGATTTACAACAATCCGGTCGTGAGCAGCAGGTGGTGGAATGATTTACTCAACAGCACAGCCCGGAGCAGAGATGATGTCATCATTCATGAAAGGGAGAGGGAGGTGCGTGTGCGGGGGTCCAGGAGAAAAAAAGCAGGATAAATTTAGAAAGTGAATAGAGCAGTATAGGGGGAGGAGGAGAGTGACCATGACATCTCATCACCTCTGTCTGGCTGACAGAGGTTTAAGGATTATTATGAGTCATCCTGCTCCTGAAACCTTCATCCATCTGCTCCGGTTTTCACGCATCATTTAACCCTGGTCTGTTTTTATCTGAGCTGCTGCTCTTGTCCAACATGTCCACCTGCACAGACAGACGTCCACATGCACAGAAGGATAGATATGATGTCTTCATGTAGAGCTGTTAACAAGAGGTTGGTTGGTGTAGCAGAGGAGAAAGGACTAAAAACAGGGAGAAGGAGCAGACTATCTGCACTAGAGATACCTGAAGACAAGCAGACCGAAGAAGACTGAACTAGACTGAGGAGCTCTAGAAAAGCCTGGAGAGGTCAGATCCAGACTGAAGACGTCTTGAGCAGACTGAAGTCTAGACCAAATGTTGGTCTGACAAAACCATCATATTCATGAGCAGTAGAGAACACGTGGTTTACACGAGCAGCCCACAGAGTGGGTCAGGTCGTGGACCATACTCATCAACTATACTTCTATAAAGTTAACAGAAGGAGAAGAACGGAGGGAGTCTCTATGTATGTAGTGTGTGTAAGGAATGTTTCCTCAGCCTTCCAACCCAGACCTCATCATTTATACACTTACAACATTAGCTGTGACCTCAGACTCTTTCACCGTTCACACTGCAGTTACATAAATCCAACATTCATCTTTTTTATGTTTTAATGTGGATTAAATGAGGAGAAAGTCAATATCGTCCACTTCAGAGTCAGGAGTTTAACGACTGTTGGCATCAGGCCTGATGAACGATGTGTTGTTATCGTGGCTCAGACGAAGCACTTTAAAGAATTAAAAGTCTCTTGGAGTTGATACTGTTTACAGCCTAGTACGTGGCCTTCAAATAGGAATCTGTTAAGTGGATCAAGGACACAAATATTTACATTACAGAGAGAAATGTTCGAGTAGAAGATAAAGGAGGAGTAGGAGGAGGAGGGGGAAAACTGGGAGAAGAAAAAAAAGATCAAAGGTAATGTGAAAGCGTTCTTTGACGGATGCATTATAAATTAATTAAAAACATCATGTCTCTGTTCTTTGTCTTGCCTAATTATCTAATAATAATCCTTGGTCTTCAGAATACAAACAATAAACAAATAGGTGAAAATGAAAGCTCATTCTCCTGTGAATATTTCAGAGTATCATATTCAGAGTCAAATTCTTACCTCTAAACAATTTATCGTGAACAGGTTCTTCATTATCATTCATTTAGCATTTGACATTTTACTATTTTCAGGTAGGTGGGTGAGCTCAAGCCAATCAGCACCAATCATCAACTTGGACAGTTCTCCAATCAACTGAAGGGTCGCATCAACAGACAATAGAACTTCCACACTCACACTTACACTGCTGGAGAACAGCCAATAGCCATCCTTCTATTATTAGATAGTTGTCACTAAATGGAGTTAAAACCTAAACGTGTGACAACCGAGAATACCAAGGAGAGGTTTTAGAACTGTTCTGGATTCATACGTGTGCACAGCTCTGACTCATCTACAGTCTGTCTACAGGGTACAGACACGATCAGAGTTTCCTTCCAACTGATACTCATGTGTCGGTCCACACTACACTACGGTGGGTCATTGTGTTGGACCAATAAACACATGTCACATCAGTCACCGCGACGAGATACTCAGTGGGCTGTGATGTACCAGTGTGAGCCATCAGTCACACTGTAATACAGCGTGACAGCAGAGGTATGCAGGTCCATGTGTGTCTATTGTCTATGGTCTGATGACATCATCTGCAGAATGAAGCATTACCTCAACCTTACTAATCACCACCCACCACCTCGTCTTCATCGCTTTGACCCCGCCCTCAGAGCATGACTCACTCCACACTGGCACTTAATCACTCCGACACACACACACCTCCCGCTCTACACACACTTTGAAGTGATGGCTTCTTTTTCTGCAGACAATGCTGTTTATGCTGCACCGTCCCTGCCTCCACCAACAGGACAAACACATGCGCTTACACACATTTACACACATGCACACGCGCACACCCTCTGTGTGTGTGGATGCAGCAGGTGACTGGCTGCTTCCTCAACAACATTCTGAGGCCAGCCAATGGCACGGCGGCAGGACCCCCCAGCCTCTAATCACTGAGCAGACTGGTGTCTCTGGGACTTAGGAAGCACCAATGAAACTGTTGCTAGAGTCACTGGGGTTGTAAATGGAGGTAGATAGAGTTGTTTACCCCCCCATGGGATAAAAAAGAAAAAAAAACAGAGTCAGCAGACAGGGCGTGCAGGTTACTTGGAGCAGAATGAGCACTGCTGGGTTTAAACACTTATTTAAACTTCTACCAGTGTGGGCTAAACACACACACACACACACACACACACACACAAATCATAAGAACCAACGTCACAGCAGGTCAGTGAGTTCACACTGAGACTCTCTCCTCATTCTACCCCTTCAGTCTCAGCATATTTGCTGATGACATGATGCTGAGGAACAGAAGGAAGATAGGAATGACTGAAGGATGAGCTTTAATTCCAGACAGCATCATTAGTTCAGTTTGTACAGGAGAAATTCAAGTTTTGAACAGATTAAATGTGAACATTTGATCGGATTTTTTTCTTAGGTTAGTTAACCACAAGCAAAAGTAAAAAAAAATATATATATATATATATATATATAAAAGAATAAATGTAAAGACTGTAGCAAAAACGGGGATTTAATATAGACAAAGGTTAGAAAACAACAATATAACTAAAGATATAATTCTAATTTAATATAACCAAAAATAAAGTAAGTGGAAACATTAAATACAGATACGCTAAATTATGACTTTGTGAGAAATAGGGAAGGGTTAGCAGAGTCCACGAAAACTCAAATGTAGGTGTGTGACACCAGATCACTTTAACTAATAAAATCACATAAAACTGACGATTGTAAATATTTAGTGAAATAAAACTCCCACTGACACAGAGTTAAACATACTCATATACAGGTGTGGAAAAACACAGCTTGGTCAAATGTGGAACCTCTGTAGCTGCAGAACAATCTGTAAGTGCTTGGAGGAGCCTTCAGGGGTTCTCCACATTCTACCCTCCGAGGAGTTCTGATATAAAAGACTGATGAATTCTATAACTTCAGTCTTCTCCAGGGGCACAGAAAAAGCTCTGGAGATTTTGATTACTTTTTTACACCACATTTAACTGATGTTTCACCCACATTCTCACCTCGTTACTGAATACATCCACTTGCTGCTGTTGCTGCTGCTGTTGTTTAATTATTAAAGGAAAGGACAAACAATTCTAAAGCCTTTGAATGAAAATCTAATGCTGTGCAAAATCCAAACATATGTATTGTAAAATGTTTAGTCCAGATTTTTACCATCTCTACCTTTTGATCCAAAAACTCTGTTAGTTTAGCAGCTGATTTTTAAAAAAAAAGTAGGTTGTTGATTTGTTTGCTGCCAACAACAAACTCAGTTCACTCTATAAACTCTTAACTACAGGGATAAACAAACATTTTATTTGCAGGTGCAGTTCTTAAACCAAATGTTGTCAACATTCTTTCAGTCGTAGAGATTATTATGTGATGTTTTCATCTAGGCTAATACGGCAGCATTTATCTCAATGAACTGACATCACCCACAGATATGTGTTCAAACTCTAGCACAGTCAAAGGGTTTGTTACTCTCAAACTCAAATTAAAGCAGCCTCAGCAACCACCCCGGACCCTCATTAGCATCACAGGCTGCTTCCCTCAGGCAAAAACTATCAAACCCAGTCAGTCCAGATCAAAGTAAACCTGCAACACCATCCACAGTCCTTTTTTCACACACCAGCTCTCTGCTGTTGGCATCGTTTCACTCGCAGTGTGTGAATGTGGGCAGTTTAAGCCTCTGTAAACATTCAAAAGCTTCTGTCTGTAAAAAATAAAAAAATAAATAAAAACGCAACCTTCAACAAAGACGTTTATCCTCCAGGCATAACACACTCACACATTCATGTGGGGGTGCACGTCTTTTATACATGAAGTGAATGTAAACATGACTGGAACGTCAGTCTGCTGTTCACTGAACGACCAGTTCACACAGACGCAGACCAACGCTGGAACCTGAGACTGACACCTCCTCACTGAGGAGATGGACCTACAGCCTGCCACCTACAAAACTTTCACCCTCATCAGAGGGTCAACAATTAGATTTTCTTGTTAAAAAAACAAACAAACAAAAAAAACAAAAGAGATGCTCTACCTCAGGTTTGCTTAGGGTGGAGGAAACGAGACTTCCTGAGCCCACATCCATGTCCCACTGCTTCCTGCCGTTGTTGTGAGGATCCAGAGCAGAGATCCGACCATCCAGAGTGCTGATGATGACCAGAGACCTGTGGGTTCAAAGACGCAGCTGTTAGTGCAAGTGTTCTGTACACAATGTGTGTGTTTATGCACAGGCCATTTAGTCCTAAACCATGGTGAGACAAAGGCAACAAGAACATGAGGAGATGATGATGATGAGATTTCTCTCATATTAAAAATCCAACAGCAGAGGTGTCACAGTGTCTTTGTCTCTCTGGTTCAGACTCCATTAGACATGACTGTGACCTTCAGCATAATTAAACCATTCTTTTAGACAAGAGCAGATCTGAAGGTTCAAAACTACTACAAAACACAGATCTTTGAATGACTACTTTTATTGTACTTTGAGTAAGACAAGATGTGCTAGCATGCCATTAAAACATTGCTAATATGTTAGACACCAGCAGGCTACTACAGTAATATGGCTTTAATGGAGTTCCCTTCTTGGATACAGTGGAAAATAGTGTATGTATCACCATCTACAGGCCAAGGAAGAAGAGCTCTGTGCCCAGTGCTGATAAAACAATGTACCAAATTTGAGAAAAATGCAGACTTCACCTTTAAAAATCAACATCACCCAGTTTTGATTTTACAATAATGTACTAAAATATCAGGAGAACATTTAGTGAGATACTCCAATGGACTGTGTTCTAATTGATTAGATATTGATTAATTGATGTATAACTGTAACTGTAATGGATCTTGACTTAACACAGTTAAGTGAACCAGAGTTATGATTGGTTTGGTAGTGTTTTATTATTAATATTATATTACTTAGAGGTTTATAACCTGAGATCTAAAAGCAGAGCAAATTATACTTGTTGGCCATAGTTAAAAAAAAAAACATTTTTCTTCATTTTTACAACAGTTTTCCCCCATATTTGTTTTATTAATTTCTTCAGTCTCATTTGAAGACAGATGAGACACCACCCTCCTGCTGCAGTGAATGTCAGTCATGTCCAGGGCTCCAGCAGGATCCTCCTCCTACTCCTCCTCCTCCTCCTACTGGATATTGATCTAAATCTGTCTGGAGGACTTGCTGTCAAACTGGACTCTTGACTCTATTTAAGCTGCAGAGTCTGTGTCTCAGAGAAGAATTTCACACTGGAGACACCTCCCTCCCTCTGCCACCGGGGCATATGGGGCTTTAGCTGCCTGCCTCTCCTGAGGGCAACAAAGCAGCAGCAGTGGTAGGGGAGAAAAAAAAAAACCTCTCACAGTGGTTCTTACAGAGAAGAAGGAAATATAAATGTGCCGATATCTGTGTTTGTTCAACTCTTTTTTTTCTGTACAAACTTCTAGACATATTATGTATGCACTCAATATATTTCTCACTGTGCAGATTATTCCACAAAATATTAAATGTTTTTCCACCAACACTCTTACCTTAGACTTTTGCACTGTGTTGTACATTGTATAAAACATGTTTATGCTTTATAATAAACTTGGCCTTGGCCTTCATATGTAAACCTAGCTTGTTATTTCGGATTTATAAACTGATGGGCTGGTGTGTGTGTGTGTGTGTGTGTAGAAATCAATTTTAAAAAAGTGATGTAAAGACTTTACAAAACAGCACATTAGCCTTTAAGCCCCCGTGTGTACAAAGGGGTGAACTGATACTGATCAGCTTTAATTCACTGATTGATTTCACATATTGAACACCTAAGGAGGATGTGTAAGCTTTAGAACAACTAGGAAATTGATTGTTTTTGATCGATATGTGGAAGCTCTGTCTGATGGTTCACCAGAGTGGTTTCACTCACTGCTTCAGTTCAAGCAGGGCTGAGGGTTTGGTTAAAAATGCAAATAGAATCAGTTAAAAGTAATGAGCCATGTGTCTTTCAGCCCCATCAAAGCTCAGATTATCTTCTCAAATCTGCTCTAAGCATTATCAGTCTCACTACCAGCACTAAAGTGAAGAGCACTGAGAAGAAAAAAAACCCCAATGTTTTTTTTAAACTCATCTGCCAATAAAAACAGAGCACTGAAGCCCGCTCTGGTCCTCACCATTGGTGGATAGAAGCTGCCAAAATATTAGGCTGATTGGTTGTTGCTAAGCAGGTGGTTGTGTAAGAGGGCGGGAGTTACAATGGCCTTTGCTCAGGCCACCTCCTTCACTCCCACCCCTCAGTGTCACACTGTTTAACTAAAGTGAAGAAAGTTCAGAGATGGTTGAGGAAAAGGCTGATCAAAGACCTCTGTGGACTCTTTGTAGTCACGATAAAGGATGGGAGGAGCAGACTGAGAATGGGGGCGGGGGGTGGACTTGACTGAACAACTTTAGGTGCTATGACTGTTGAGGAGGTAACATGTTGCTTGAGAGAGAACTAATAATAAATCCATCAGTAAAGTCTAATTCCAAAGTCTAAAGAAAACACTGAGGCCAAGTGGATCACTTAGCAAACAAGGCAATTTATTTTCCACCACTGAGCCCCGAGATGCTGCTGCTCTGCTCCTCACCACAGGGAGAACATGTAGCCCGAGGCACTGCTGCCAACAGTGACAAACGGGAGCAGAGGAGAGCCTGAAGAAGACGTAGGAATAGAGAATGAAGAGGAAGAAAGAAACAGAGCAGCCAGGAGCATCGGCAGAGCTGAGGGTTGTTAGCGTGGCGGCCTGTACCGCTGTCAAAAGTGTCATAACAGAACTGGGTACAGTATGTGGAGGAGCAGGGAGCCAATTAGACCGGTTCTCAGCAGACTCTCTGCTCCTCAGAGACTCACAGCCTCAGTCTGCAAACGCGCACGCACAACCCACGCACACACAAACACACACACACACACACAGGTAAAACTGCTGCTGCTGGTAAACATGCTTCATTGACAGGAAACAAGCAGGATGTTTACACAGGCCTCAGTCTCCAAGCAGCTAGATCTGCTGAGCTGGACCAATCACAGCGCTGCAGACATTTTCTGACAGCCAGTGAGAGTGATGATTTTCCTCACAACTCAGCCAATGGGAGCCCAGATTTGCAGATTGCGAGCCAACCACGGTTCAGAACTGTTTGTAACCATGCAACAGCGAGCAGTCCAACAACACAGGGGTGGAGTCCTGCTGCCATGCTGCACCACCACAGGGAGGCAGGACAAAAATATGAGAGCGTGTGCAGCACGTGGTGTCGAAGTTATGGATGCAGCTCTGAGTTGGCCGCACCCAGCGATTCCAGCAGCTGCAGGAACAGTGCATTCTTTTTCACTGGGGGTCAGGAGTCAGGGCAGCAGAGGGGAGAAATCTTCAGCGTGGAAATTGAGGTGTCACACACTGTTCACCAATTCAAATGAAAACATCAAATCACCAGAGTTTTAAAAACTTCAGTGCTGTGACTTAAGTGTTCAGTCGGGTCACAGAGAGTTACAGATTAAAAAAGGCAAAATGTTAAAGACAATATGAAACAAATTCTCTGTTAATGTAGTTGAATCTGGTGTGACATGTCCTGTTATTGAACCCTAGGTTTATACAATTGTAATGATATATATATATATATATATTATATATAAATATATAAATATATATATATATATCCTGAGCGGGATATATATATATATATATATATATATATATATATTATGGCTTGACAGTTACATCTGTTATTGTCATTTTATAAAAGAAAGTTTAAGTAAATTCTGTCAAATATTTGTCAACGTGACGAGAGTCTTTTTCCATTTCACTCAGACACATTTCACACATAGGACACATAAAATATGATCAGGTTTAAAACTTTTTGTAACACTGAGTCAGTTATTCGGACACAACCTGAATTTGACAGTTAAACAATTCCTGAATTCAAGTTTTTTTGTGTGTGTTCACTAAAATTAAGTGAAAATAATGACACACACTCTGCCTCTTATCTGTAGCTCATGTCAATGAGGGTCACTGCAGCAGAGACAAAAGGTGTGGCTTCACTTAAACACACGCACACACACACACACACGTGTGCAAAAAAATCCAAACTGCATGGCGCCACATCCCGAGCAGCTGATTGGCAGGACAGCAGCTCTCCTTTAAGATTGTGATTGGTTGTTGCTAAGCAGTGAGAACCATCCAGAGTGAAAACAAGACAGCGTGGTCCGACTATCTCTCAGCTAACTACTTGTTTTTGTTCTCTTCTCCCTCCCTTTCTTTCTTCTCTCCACCAGTCCACCTCTTCCTCCTGTGCCCCACCCAGACTGCAGTGCTGCAGAACATGTCCCAAAGACCTCACCAAAATAAGCACCAACCAGAGAACAGCCACGGCAGCTGCCTCACACAAACATCTGTGAGAACATACTGTGACAGACGTCTGCTGCTATAGACCTTGGTGTTTGGTCTGCAGACAGTGAAAGACAGGAGACAGACGTGAAGACACTCAGATCTTCACTGTGACGATGAACAGGGTCAGGGAAGAGCTGGAACATTTAGATAATAATATTAAAGATGAGTGGAGGTGTTGTTGACCTGTGATCTTTTTGTTGGTATTTGACCAAATAAATATTTATTTCTGAAATGACAGGAATTAATTCACAGTCAGCAATTTCTTAACACAGGCCATGGTCCCATGAGCACAGCCACTAAGAGTAAACTTATTTTTACGTGTTGAAAGTGAACAGGAGTCATTATTTTTTATGACAAACTTAGTGTTGAACAACCACAGTTAAAAAAAAAAAAAAACTAATATCAACCTTTTTTTTCAACTACAATTCCAAAAGACTCATAGAACCACTGTCTACAACTATCAAGATGTACAGGACAAATAATGTAACAGAGATGATTTAATCTGGGTTAAAGGATCTTTTTGTTTGAGACAATTCATTTCAGTCTTCTCAGGAGGAGTTCAAACAACTTCACCCTGACCTGTTATTTTAGGGACAGTTTCTATTAATAAAACCCACAACATCCTCCTGCCTGGTTACAAGGAGCAGCTCCTCAAAAAGCAAACAGGGAGGAGGAAAAAACTGTCAGGACTTTGCTCTCCTCCTCCTCCTCCTGTTTCCTCCTCTCCTTCCTCACCTAACTAGAACCAGACCCATGCGGCCAACTCAAATTCTGAGCA